AATTTCTTTGGGAACCATGTTGAAGGGACTGGATGTGTCTTTGACTGGGTTTGGGACAGATGCTTACTTGCTTTGTAATTCTTTCTGCCCCCTAGTCATGCCTGGACATCCACAGGAGAACGAGAACAGGAACTTGAGATGTGCTTCTCTTATCTGTGCTACTCTCCTTCTGACAGCTGACATGCTAAGCTGTGCTGCTATCCACAGCACAGAGCAGGGAGGAACAAACAGCTTTTGGGCATGGGAAACAAGTTTTGCATAAGCATGACAATAGGGTCTGTGCTCCAGTTGCCTGAGCTGCTACTTCTCATTGAGCTCAAAAGGTGTCTTCAGATAATTGCCAAGAGAGGATTTACTTCACCTAATGCCCAGGGAGTATTAGCAGGGCTGCATTCATTTAGCTGCCTAAGATAGACATGAAGACCAGAAAATCCCAAGTTTGGATTTGTCACTATCCTAGGGTGACGTTATGATGCTTGTATCCCCAGTCATCTGTTCCGTTTATGACAAGAAGAAGTACAGAGTTTCGTTATCAGCTGCACTCTCCCCCACAGTCTGCTGGAACACAGAACTCCACTGTTGTTGTCTGGGGACGGATAGGGCAGAACACCACGCTCCTTTTGCTTTTTAGTTAGTTCAGCTAGCTGAGGCGGTCTGAGTTTTCCCTGGACTGTTTTTCTTTCCCTTTTTCTTGGAAGCACTCGAGCCTGCTCCGGAGTGGGACCTGGGGAGCACTGAGAGCTTGCACTTTGTGACCTACGGGGGCCTACTCTGGGCAGCAGCCTTTGCCAGTGCCGAAGGGATTGATAACAGAGCGAGCACCCACAGGAGAGACTTTCTGAATTTGTCATCTCTTCAGAGCGGTGAATGAGTTTTGTCATCTGGTACTGTTCATTTCTTGTGCTGAGGAGCGCCTTCCTGTTAAATAAACAGGTTCTTTCCACTTCTCTCCAAGGAAATTTTTCTGAACCAGTTGGGGAGGAGGAGCTGTGTGGGGCCCCTTTTGGCGGTTTTCTCCCAGATTTGCCCTAAACCAGGATAGTTACAGAACAAAATTCTGAAATCAATGTCACTTCAATGGAACAGGTTTAATTAACAGGATTTTATTGGAGTTCAGCCCATGCTACATGAAAGCTTCAGTTGGTGGAACAGAGAGTATTTCTAGCTGTGGTTTTGATGAGCACTGACTAGTGTGCCCAGTACCATCAGTTTGGAATTAGTCTATGGACAAAACTGGGCATCATCCAAGTTTAGTTCTCACAAGCTGGGAATCATGTAGAGACAGAATGAGAAGGGGCCCAAAACTCACATTGTGCATCTTCCCCAATGTTTTCCTGGCCTCTACTTATTTAAAACAGTCTTAAAAAGTCTCTCAGAGGTTTTTACAGCTTCTTCAGACCATCTCTCTCTCCTAGTAACTATTCCTATGACTAGAATGTTTTTCCTAATATATAACTTAATTCTCTCAAGCCTCAATTAAGTCTATTATTCTTGTCCTACTTATACGGATAAATTCCATCTTCTTTGAAAATATGTTTCTTACAGAAAACTTAATTTCTGTGTTCTCTTTGGTCTTCTGTTGTTCACACTGAATACTATATAATCTGTGAGGACGGGGCAGGTTCTTCCAATTCTCTCTGCTTGATTCTCTCTGCTTGGCTGCTGTCTAGCTGCACCACATTTCCCTTGAAGAGGAAAAAAATTGCTCAACATTTGACACACTGCTCTATTAGAGGCCTTACTAGTGCTGAGTGCAGATGAATGATTGCTTCATGCATTTTTTAAGTTACAGTTCTGTGTAAACACTGTGTTGACATTTAACATTTTCACAACAGCCAGGTTCTGTTGACTCATGCTCAGGTTGTGATTCACTACCTGCAAGGCTCCTGTGAGACCTTGGATCCCCACCATTCACCTAGCACTCTGCAGGTCAAGTCCCTGTTTGTAAGTCCCTGTTTAAGGCTGACATATTGCTCACTTCTGCTCTTCTTTTCTTGTATTTAGAAATATTGGCAGGGTGAAGCCAGTTCTTGTTTTTCTTTCCTGGAGTTCTCAGTACACTACCATTTTCTCTCTGCTGAAGGCACATGGGTTCCATCTTCACTAACCCCTCACCAATAAGAGTTTTCCTGGATCTGTTTTAATTCACATCCAGTTAGCTCAAGGGAAAACAGCTTACGATCTGCATAAGATATGCTCATCCTCCCATCTGGTCTCATTTACACAGTGAACATCCTGCCGTGGTCACAGCAGCCCTCTTGTCTCTTGAGGTCCTGAAAACATCCTGAGGTCTTTGGCCAGGGAGCTGTGGAGTTCTCCAGGGCGTCCAGGTTGCTGGGCAAGCTGGGGGTACCCCCCAGCCCAGGGTGTCACCTTATGGGTGGGGACACAGGTGTGGATCCAGAGGCAGGCAGTCCTCTCATGAGAACTCAAGCCCTATGTGGAAAAAAAATAGCATAAGAAAAAAATCCTCTCTTTCCCCCCAGATATTCAAGCATGCAAAACCCCCAAACTCAACCACACAAATAATCCCCCCCCAAAACAGTCTTTCATGAAGTTTTATCCAACATAAGCAAAACATGGTAAAACTTTCTTTCCTTTAAAAATTGTATTTGGCACAGTCCTATCAAAAGGCTATCAAGCAAAATTAATACATTCATGTTTTTTGGTGTATTTGCAGTTCTGCACTTCTTAAAATAAAAATGTTCTAATAAGTTATAAATTTACATTTCTTCAGTTACCCTGTCTGGCTCCTTTAATAAAATGACTGCAATACAATACACAGAGCAGTGTGACTCTGTAAAACCTCAGAGCTCCAAATATTAATGAAGAAGCTTTCATAGAAATTAATAAATGGAAGCAAAAAAATTTAATAAGGGATGAAAATTTATGAGCTGCTAAAAGACCATCAAAAATGGATTTCCTACTAAGGCATTTAAAGTAAATCCAATACTTTTCAATGGCATTATGAAGCTGAAATCACGTAACTGACTGGAGGCTTGGGGTGTGCTTCAGTTCAGGGTTGGTTTTAGAGCGCTCTTGTCTTGTTTGCTGGAGTGGTAATTCTGAGTGGTCGTGCAAACACCTCTGGAAAGCTTGAGATCATAAAAGAAAGGGGTAGCAAAGAAAGTACAAACATCTGATAGATACATCTGTGGGATAAACCTGAGCATGCAGCTGCAACTGAGACAATTCAGGAGAAGAAAAATGGAAATATTGTATAAGCAAGGATGGAAGATAAAATGGAATATGTCTCATTTTTCAGTACCAATCACTGTGTTTTCATCAATCTTACTGTAGGATAATTGACAGAATTACTTCTGCTCGCCACAGCTTTTGGTCTGCCTTTGCTTCTTGCTGTCATGAACAGTTGCTGACAGGACGCTAATAAACACTTTTCTTGAATGGTTGCAGCACATCTATTATTCCACTAGCCTGGCTCATGAGTTGGGCCACTAAATGCTACCACAATACAAATAAATCATTAAACAATCATGAAAAAATAACAGATCAGCTTGTAGTGATCCTCTATTTATGGCAATAGAGATATTATTAATTTACTTTGTACATAAAATCAGAATTCAGTCATATTTTCCCCTTTGGTCTGGATTAGCCCACATGGTGGCAATCTCTGTCATTAACATACAGTGTTAATTCCTTCAAACACTGCCAGTTTAAGGTGTTTCATCTGCACAATACCAAAAATAAGACAAGAAAATCAGCTTGGATTTCAGTGAGTACATGAAACAGACAGGAATTTTCCTGACAAAGTACAAGTAGCCTGTAACACCACAGAGTGAACCCCTCATACAGGCTTTAGCACAATGCTCTGGCACAGCCTGCAGAGCAGAGAAAATCCTCAATGAAACCCACATTGCATCTGCAGAAGCTGTGCCCCTGCTGCACCCATTCTGTGTGCTCTGTTTAACCAAAACCACTCTCTCAATTTCCAGCCGGATAATGGATGTAAAGCTGAAAATGCCACAGGACAGGTGTTCTGCTACCTCCTACCTTCAGGTACGAGCTGGTGAAAGAAGTGAGGAAGGAAAAAAAAAAAAAGCCAACTACACAATAGTCAGATAAGTCAAAAGAACTGAAACTCAGCTTTATTTTTTTTTTTTAAGTATTCTACAATAATGGCTCAGAATACTACCACAATGTAAAGGGACAAGGCAGTGCTCTGGGCTATGACTGTAGATTACTCTCATATATATATATATATATATATATATATATTTAAGAGCTTAAGAAAGGTTGAAGCAGAGCAGTTCGACATTTCCTAAGCATGTATTTCATAATTTTAACATCTTTTAGATCTCTCATATTACAGCAGGATTTATCAAATGCAATGTAGTCACAGAAGTCTTGCATAAATACAAATATTGATACTTTACTTTGAATATTGTCTGTGATATAAATTCTGGCCCACCTTTAAAAAAAAAAATCTAGATCATTATGTGACCTGGGAGTCTTTCCTTTTCTCTCTCTTTAAGAGTTTTAAAATATACATATATATATATATATATTCATATATTTCGTATTGTACATCAAAGTATATATGAATCCCATAAGTTCTGTTATATTTTCTGCAGACATGGTCTGAAGCAAAATCACCAACAACTAAATCAAAAACTTCCTGGTTATCATAGGAAAGCCAAAGAGGATCTTTCCTCTTTTTTGTGTGTGTTTCAGTACTGATATTTTTTAAACTTGAAAGGATTCTTCATAAACTAGAGGTCCATAGATCATTTAAAGTAGTCTTTATAAGCAAATTTACATATTTTAACATGCTTTTGTGAGGCAGTTAGTATCAAAATCCAATAGCATTTCTTACAGAGCCATATGACTTTCTGCGATGCAGATATACATTTCACTTCTAAAAAGCCACAGTTATTTTTCTACATCTGCTCTCATCAAATCCCCAGGATTCATTCATAAAACTGCTGCTGTTCGGAATGCTGATGCTGTTATCCCCACATACACCCAACCCGGTGACATCATTGCGTGGAAGATTGGTAAGTAGGAAAACACCCTCCCCAAATTCACAGAGTCTTTTCTATCTCTGAATCCTCATGATTCATGTCACCCAACAGTACAATGTGATGAGGACACGACTCAGTGCAGGCTAAGGGTCTTCTTCCATCAAAGGAATCTCTAGGAGAAACAAAGAAACAGCATTGACTGCTGATTGCAATTTCCCTTTTTGCTTTTGCAAAGTATAATTGTTACCAATTCTACAAAACCAGAAATGGACATTGCAAATATCTGAACAAGACATGGGATATTGCCAATTCTAGACCCACTCAGACCCTAACACCTCTATGAAAATTAGATAACTAAAACTACACAGATTTTATCCAATAAGTTAGGACCACAAAAAACCTAAATGCAAACATCCTTGCTACTACATTAATCACTGAAGCAGCATTTAGAGGTGGAAGGGACTTTAACTGGCAGCCCTGTAATTTCTTCCTCTCCTCCTGGGTCTCCTATTCCCCTTGCAGTACCACTAAAACTATCCCAACTCCTCTGAAGCAGAAGACTTCCTCCACCTAGACCTTCACCCACACTGAATTTAGGACACTGGGCTTCAGCTCAATGACAATGGAGAGTGGGATTTGAGCCTCTCCCTCAAAATGTCTCCAAGGAAAGCCATCCAGTTTCCTTAACATGCTGAGCAGCACCAACCAGAACTCCATGAAATCGTACATGCTCATGCTTGATTTAAAGGTGGGCAATAATACATGGCAAGCTCCCTCCTGGCACATGGACCTGTGGCACGTTCTCCTTATGCTCTGATTTTTGTGTCCATGGCTTCAGGGTCACGTGCCTCAGATGGAAGGAACATTTTGCTGGATGCATAGACATGATGAGTTTGCTAATAAAGGCTGCTAATTTTGGCCCAGTATGAAAATACGATTTATTTCCTTTTTGAGGAGAAAATCCTGTTATTTGCTGTGAAAGCCATGGGAGCTGTGAACATAGGAGTTGAAGAGCAGATGAACAGATCAGCACAGCTAAGATGAGGCTTGGCTTTGCTGCTGTACACAGGTGTTCGCTGACATCCCTGTTGATGGGACTGGGGTCTGGACAGGACCCTTCTGGCCTGGCATTCAAATCACATGCACCACAGTTAGCAAGGACATATCACAGACATGAAATTCTATAACCATGGAGTTTTATGATTTTAAAAAAAGTTTCAAATTAAGGTAGACAAAACCATGGAGAAAGTAGGAGTGAGTCAGCTGGGTGAATTCCTAGAATTGTAGAATTCCTACAAAAAAATTATGTCCCCTGTCCATGGACTCACCTATTGCACCTATGCAAGACTCACCATCTGTGATATCGATCCGGGGGCTTGTGGATACAGCGTCCCCGTCAGTGCTGTGGGATACGTCAGTTCGATCTGAGCTGGGAAGTGCTGCTGTTTGGCATGTCAGGGATGGGTACAAACTTTGGAGCAGTTCAGAGGAACCCGACCTACTGTCACAGGTCTCAAATTCACTGGGCTGCGTGTCTGGAATCCTGGGACCGGGGTAAGCAGGGGGATTCTGATTTTCTGTCTGCAAAATATGCCCCTGGTCTGCAGCAGCTGAGTATCCAGGTGCCAGGGCATTCCAGCCACTGCTGACAGCTTCATCGTAGGAAGGCAGCATGACAGGAACACCATCCACCACCACAAAGTCGGGGTCGCCCATGGAGCCCTCCTGGTTGCCTCTACGTCAAACACAGAAAGGTTATCGCAGAGAGCAGGAGCATGTCAGCAGCACTTCGGAGCAACTGCTGAACTCCAGTAAGCACAGTACTTTCTATTCATGCCAAATGAAGCTACAGGGTCATTAACATTCACAAAAATGTTTGCCAGACTATGCTTGGGTTGACAGGTGGAATCTGTTATAATTGGAAAAAATGAAACTGGTAATGGGAAGAACAGTTCCAAGAAGGGAAGGTAAACAGGTATGTGGAAGAGATAAGGAGCACCATTCGCTGTGCTGTGCACAGTAGGTGTCATGGATATAAGATCACAGATGTAGTTCACCAGGCAAAAGTGTCTGAACCCCTGGCAAAATGTATGCTAGAGCACAAAAGTGTTTACAGCACAAGTAAATGAGTGCTGAGATCACCACTGCTGGATGACAAGGGTTTGGTGGCAAGACTTGTGGCCTCTTTCAGGTCTTGCTTTCAAAGGATGAAGGCTTTTTTAACCAGTATTAAGATGATTTCTTTTTTAAGCAAAGCAATTCTATTAATTGGGAAGGTCCATTAAACCCTAAAGTTTCTGCTTAATAGCCTATTAAACACAGTATAGTCCAGGCAGGAGGTCCTAGGTACCTTTAACACATGAAAACATCTGAAAAGGAGAGGACTAAAAACCATTTTAGTAAGCAAGACAAGTCCAGGCTATAGGCTTTCCTCATGGAGAACACTATGTCAATCAATGACAAATGCTCCCATCTCCAGGATATTTTATAGAAATAAAGGAAGATGCAGGAGATGTTTATGAATCATGATGAAAATAACACTAAAGAAGTTAAAGCAAACCTTTAATATAAATTTGTCCATAGAGAAGAAAAAATTCATTCTTAAAACTTACATTACTAAGTAATGTCTACATAGTTAAAAAATTAATCCCCCCAGCACCTGAAAATGAGTACTCAAAACTATTGTCAGCTATTTTTACAGGCAGAGGCAGCAGCTCTCAATAGAAGACTGATAATTACTCCCAGAGTGAATCTGGCAATTTTTATCTTAGCAGTGTGAAGGACTACTGCAGGTTTTTGGGGGTGCCCTTCCACAGTAGTGGTTCAGGGACTTCTTCTCGGAGCAGAACAAAGTATCTGCAAGGCTCATGAGCTGCTCCATTTCTCCAGAAAGGAGTGCTGAGTGTGAAAACGGAATCAAGGCCCTCAGCCTTCAAAATAAGAAAGAAACCGGTACAAACCGTGGAAGGAAATGCGTCTTAAATTTGGTCTGGAACATCCTGGCTAAAATAACCAGTAGCAGTACTAATAAAACACTGGTAGCAGTAAACGCCACTATTTTCCATGTAGTCAGGAGGGTCTCCTGTGTATTTGGCCAGGTTTGTTCTGTAACAGAAAGACAATACAAGAGTTGTGCTTGTATATTCCCATTGTTATTTTATATTCAACACTACTCAGAAGTGCACATTTTTTATATGTAACTTGTAAAAACACAAATAAGCCCTTTGCCATGTACCAAAAGCAGTCTTAACATAAAGCTGTCACAGAGACTGGATCTTGCTTTTTCCCCTTTACTGGTCTTTTATACATGCAATCGTGACCTTAGCTTGCATACATATAAAATATCCAAATGTTAAAAAACACATTTGAAGAGGTAATGATCAAAATGATTTAGAACCATTCAGAATCTTGGGAATGCATTATATTTACCCTTTTTGAAAATCTTGCAAAATAGTTCGAAAATAGCAGCATCTTAAAATCAGTGTTCATCACTTAACCATGAAACAAAGTTCATCAGGCATTGCCAACCTACAAATTTGCTCTGAAATGAGGAGATGTAGGAAGACAGGGCTGTTAGGATAGGATAGTCCTTTACCTGTTTTGACACAGTACACTTGGTAGGAGGGGAACCACTCTCCGTACTGGCAAGTGATGTACTTGTAGTCATTGGCGAGGGTGTAACCAGGGTCACAGTAGAACTCCACCACCGTCCCGTGGTTGTAGCGCTCACAAGGCCGTGGGTGGCAGATGTAGTCTCCGTGACTCACCATTGGAGGTAGTGGACAAACTTGGGCAAACAAACAAAGGGAAAAGGAGAAAGACATTAATGCCAGCAGTCCACCACTGGGCAGCTTCAGAGTGTCAAAATGCAGCAGGCACACTTTGGGCTCCCTCTTAGCTCCCTGTGGTTCTGGGTATGTCTCAGTGGCACCAGGCCACTGCCCTGGCAGGCCAGGTGGCCATCCACACCAGTGGAGGGATGCACAGGCCAGGGGTCACTGACGTGGGATCTGGAAAGCTTCCTCCCCGCGGTGGGAAGAGGAGGGTGAGAGGAAGACAACAGGGGACACATTCCCATCAGGTGGCTGCATGAGGATGGAGCAGGGCAGTCAAAATAAGGAGAATCATGCTCTTCACGAAGCATTTATAATTCAGCTGTAACATGCTATTTTTTGTTTCATTAACATAATTAAATGGTTATATGCCTTAAATTCCTTTTAAAAATAAGTTTGCCATCAGCAGTGCTGTAAGAGATGCAAAGAACCTAGTGTTGCTTAAGCATGTGCAGACTGTATCACTGTAATTTTATTAAGTTGAGCTTAAAGTCTGCCGGTGGTATCTGTGTTTTGTTATTTCTGAACAGCCCAACTGATCTCAGTGGGACCACTGGTGGAGTGAGGTCTTAAATATAGCAGAGGCTGAGCCTGTGTTAATTAAGTAGACTGGTTTACTTAGGGTTAGGTAAATAAGAGAGAATTGTAATATAAACCTGTGGGACTTTTCCTGTAGGCCCTGGAATCACAGCCCAGACAGATGAACTCCATGGAGAACTGAGGAAGCACTCTGGAAAACAGCACTGGGGAAAGCAGTTCACAAGCAGTATTTTTACAAGAGAGAAAAATTTTCCACGGTGTAAGTGTTGGTTGATTACTGCTTTCTTAAGTGCTTCTAGCACCAGGCAAAAAAATCCGACAAAGTGTAATGATGTTTCAAATGACTGCATACTGACCCAAAAGGGCTTCAGTTACTGGATGACTACTTTTATTTCTCTTCAGAGGCAGTTCCTGGCTGGCTCAGTGCCCCATCTACACACCCTTCACTTCATGCCTCTCCCATGCAGGCAAGACCTTCTGCATTGATTTGAATAATGAAAATGACATCTCTTGAAAGAAGAATCTTCTCAGAAATTACAATTCAGCTGCTTCTCCCTGTGAATCTTGTTACATGAATAATGCATTTCACAAAAAAATACACAAGATATTAAATGAATCTTCAAGAGAGGCTGATTACAATGTGCAGCTATGTCTATTCCCCATCCTCGAGAGACACGGTTTTGTTTGCATTTTCACTGGCAAGGCTTAATGATAACTTGAAATCAGAGTAAGTCATTCATATAAAAATTCACATCCTCAATGCTCTGCACACTTTCCAAAGTCTCTGGGCCCACAAGAAAGAGGAATACTTTACTGGGAAGTCAACTCAAGATTGAAAACAATTTTCTTAAGATTAGGGTGAAGTTGTCAGACTGAAATAGCAGGAAAGCACCTATTAATAATTCTTGTATATAAAAAGAAAATGACCGGTGAAAGCCATGATCCTGGCCTACCAAGAAACCTGGTATATTTTTATTACCTATGTTTAGAGCATGAGAACAAAGGAAGAGAACAATTTAAACTCCTCTGCAACTGAATTTTGCCAAGCTCTGGCAGTGTGCAAGAGATGTGTAGATGCCCACAACCTTTCTAGCAATGAGCAAGTAGGAAACACCTTATCACAAAGAGCAACACTCAGAAAAACTAATTTTCCCCTCCAGCAATGTAGCTGCTGCATCATCCCTAACCTCTTCATGTCATTGAGAGCCAAAGCAGCCTGCTGAATAGAAAAATCCCTCAAAGCTTGCATCCCAGCAATGTGGGTCAGCTCAGGATTGACACATTTCCAGGCAGATTTAAAGCTATGCACTGTGGAAACAACCCAGATATGGAGCTGTCAGTCTGTTTACAAACAGAGGTCTATTTTATAACACCCAAAAACGAGAATCACTCTTTGTGTAGGACATGTCCCCAGTACTAAAAAGGGTGCCACTCCTTCCAGGGACATATCCATCTTTCAAGGGAAATGCTTGTGTATTGGTGCTGCCTGGAAACTCCTACAAACAATTTTTTATTGTCCTGCCAAGTATTAGTCATGAATTAGTTGAGGTTTACGGAGTCATACCTGCCAACAGCTCCTGCATGAAACACTGGGAACCAAAACATGAAATGCAACAGGTTTGAAACTGAGGGCTTTTAGCTCCGCTGAAAAAGTGCTTCATTCTTATGTCAGCTGGACGGCAGGAGTCAGGGATTCTAACTCACCTGGAGTGTCACTCACCACCTCCGATGAACTTTATGTTCAACCGGTTTCAGGATCCCTTTAACACTTCCACGGGCAAACTGGCCCCCATGTACAGTCTGTAGCACTCAGGTTCAAAGCCTCTTTTCACAAATCAAGTCAAAGGTACGTTGTGGTAATCATATACCCTCTGAACAGAGACAGACATAGCTCTCCCAGGATTTTCCTGGGAAGCTGTGAGAAAGCTCACAGAAAGAATTAAAACAATTATTATCTCAATCCCTGCACCTGGCAGGCAATCTCTGTTTGTCAAAGATGTTTACAAGAAGGAGTTGTCCCTTCTTGACCAGTAGGTGAGAGAAGATTCCTAAAGGCCAATCAGGTCTTAGGTCCACCATTGTTTCTATAAGAACTGTGAATTTCTAATAATAAAGTGCTTTTCATACCTCTGATGATAGAGTCTCTGTATCACTTTTGTATGGTCCCGATACCCGTTTGGTGATAGTACATCACAAACAACCCTCAATGAACTCACTTTGAGCTCTGGGTAGTTAGTAGTACACTCAGTCCTTTTCTCCACTCACTTCATTCCCATGGTCATCCGGATCCAAGATCCTTTAAAGCCAGTGGAAAGACAGCCAGCAAGTAGCCTTGGTTTTGATCATAGAAAAGAAATATTAGGAAAGGCTAGAGGGCTGCTGAACTCTCTTGGCTCTCTTGGACAGAAAATTTTTACTGCAGAGCCGGTTACATTACAGGGTCTGAACACTTATTTATTCCAGATGCCAGTAAATGATAGTGGTTACATGGATTAAAGGAATGTGTCAGATAAAATATGGAGGGAAACTCCAGTGACAAACCTAAGGCCACTGAAGTTTTTTAGGAAAGTTAAAATTCTAGTATTCCCAGTGATGAGCCCTAAAAGTGTTTGGAAATTACAGGCCATGGATTTCAGACAACTGTATCAAACTCACAGAAGTAAAATAGCCATAAACTGATTACAATAAAAGCATATCTGACAAGTACATTTTCACTGCCAAAGCCAATGGCAGTATGCACAATAATCATAGAAACAAGGGAATTCTCCCTCAGAAAGTTCTCACAGATCAAAAAAAGCCCTAAGTGCTGCTCTTAAATACGATACTAACTCTTTACTACCAGTAACTTTCAGCATCTTCACTTTATAAGGCTTTGGAGACTTTAATGCTCTAATTACAGCATCCAGCATGGATAATCTAGTACTATTATCTGGTGACCAGCATTAAAAGACCACATGCCTGTGTCCTTAACTTTGGAGCTTGCAGGTGATCAGCAGGTGATCTCGAGTCTCTGGATCTGTCTTTGTACAGCAGGTGATCTCCAGTCTCTGGATCTGTCTTTGTACAGCAGTTGGCCACACACTGTAAGGGGATTTACCGGAACTTTATAGCTCAGCATTCACAGCTGAAAAGTTGAATCATTCATCAAAAAGAAAGAACAATTGTATTTATATGGTAAACAAATCTCTTGCTGGATATTCAAGAGTCCTGTTACTCAAGGAAGTTGAAGGGAAGAATTCCGGATTTGATTTGGTGGAGTTCCCTGCCTGTTCCTAAGAGCAGCTGGAGCTGAGAGCTCTCCTCTAAGATCAGCTTTCTGCTCTGGCTGATTTTAATGAAGGACTAGCACTACCGAGAAAAGCTTAAAACCTGGGGAGCTGAGTCTTGCGTTACCAGCAGTGTGGCACTGTGGCCTGGAGCAAAGGCAAGGGCTGGTCTGCCCCACAGTGTCCTCTCCATCACAGCCTCCACAGAGCCACATCCCTTGGAGCAGGGCCAGGGGAGGGTGGCACAGGCTCCATTCTTCATTAATTGAAAAATTAATGAGGTTCACCCAGTGATTTTTTCCTACCCATTATGGTCAAGAAGCTTTTTAAACTCTGCCCGGAGGATGCTGCAGTAATTCTGCAATGTTGACACTGGAACTGGAGGACGGAGGGAAGACTTTTTGACATTAGCACATTCTCAGTTAACACCAATGGCACAGAACAAATACATTGCACGACTTTTTAAAAGCCACTGGTAGAGAGATAACAGTGGACTTACAGATATTTATACGGTTCAAAACTCGTTTTTTAGTCAATGTTCAAAGGCTAGTGGTTTTAGTCTGTGGTACAAGTAGACAGGTGGTAATCACTCAAGTTTTGCCCAGCATTTTTTATATGAGCCAAAAATTTAAAACAAAAATGTTTTGAAGTACAGGACACTTATTAAAAAAAGAAGGGGTAGGAACAAGCAAGCTTATTTTCCACCTGCGATAATTTGTCTCAAGCTACTAGTTCACTTTTTATGTAGGACATTAATTTCTTGGTTAGCTGGGTTAGCAGAAAGCCCCAGTGCAAGGCCAACCATTTCTGTTTGACACAGAGATGGAAAGGATTAGAGACATTTGCACCTTGTAGAGAATAACACTTCTTCCAAATACATTGTGAATGCCTGCTCATTATGCAAAGAATGAGAACAGATTAAGATGAAACTTCCAGATGAGAAGACACAGATAAAAACCTTCCAGTTCCACTGTGTAGGAAAATGCCGGTGTATCTCACTCAGAGAATCATCTGGGAGGGGGAGACACTCTCTGCTTTGCTCACAAACTGGAAGAGAACAAGAATTTCTCCTGACCCTCACTTGACATTTTTGTACACATCAGGACACTAATTATCACCAGGAATCTGGACACCTGTCACCTGGCTAC